CATCAGCATCAGCACCAGCATCAGCATCAGCATCAGCAGCATCATCATCCTCATCCTTCTCCTCGTCAGCCTCATCATCAAGCACATCATCACTATTATTATCAATATCAGCATCAGTCTCAGCATCATCATCAACATCGTCATCGTCACCCGCATCATCATCATCAGCAGCATCATCAGCATCGTAATCCTCACCACCAGCATCATCATCCTCATCATCGTCACCATCGTCGCCATCCCCATCAGCAGCAGCATCACCATCATCGTCATCGGCATCATCATCATCATTATCATCATCATCATCATCATCATCATCATCATCATCATCATCATCATCATCATCATCATCATCACCATCATCGTCATCGTCGTCATCATCATCACCAACAGCAACAACGTAGTCATCGTCGTCATCCGCATTGTCAGCGTATCCTCCTCAGCATCATCAGCGTCACAATCACCATCACCATCGTCACCATCACTAGCATCACCACCATCAGCATCAGCAGCAGCAGCAACATCACCATCATCACCAACAATATCGTCAACGACATCGCCACCGTAACGCGTAATCATCATCATCAGCAGCATCAGCATCATCACCATCGGCATCATCATCGTCATCAGCATCAGCATCATCGTCATCACCATCATGATCGGCATCCTCACCGTCGGCATAATCGATATTATCAGAAGCAGCATGATCAGCATCCCCATCAACACCATCAGCAGCATCAACAGCAGCATCGCCATCATCACCATCACTAACGTCATCACCGTCAACAACATCATCATCACCATCATCAACATCAACAGCATCATCATCATCAACATCAACATCACCGCCATCATCATCAACATCATCATCATCATCAACATCATCATCATCATCATCATCAGCATCATCATCATCATCATCATCATCATCATCATCTTCCGAACCGTCATCCTCACCATCCCCAATAGTATGACCATCACCATCACCATCACAAGCGCCGTCGCCATCATCACCATCAACACTACCACCACCATCAACATCGTCCTCATCCGCATCAGTATCGTCACTGTCACTGTGAACGACATCAGCATCAGCATCAGCATCATCATTATCACCAGCATCAGCATCAGTATCAGCACGGCCATCATCAGCATCAGAAGCAGCAGCATCACCAACATCATCACCAACAGTATCGTCATCAGCATCGCCACCGTCACGCGTCATCATCGGCATCAGCATCATCATCATCATCATGACCAGCATCATGATCATCATCATCATCGTCATTAGCATTATCATCATCAGCAGCATCATCATCATCAGTATCGCCATCAACATCAGCATCAACAGCAACATCGCCATCATCACCATCACCAACAACATCACCGTCATTATCAGCATTACCATCATCATTAACATCACCACCATCATCATCATCAGCAGCAGCATCATCATCATCAGTATCATCATCGTCCGCAACAGCATCCTCACCATCCCCAGTAACATGACCATCACCATCACCATCACAAGCGCTGTCACCATCATCACCATCAACACTACCACCACCATCAACATCGTCCTCATGCCCATCATTATCGTCACTGCCACTGTCAACGGCATCAGCATCTTCATCAGCATCAGCATCAGCGTCAGCGTCATCATCATGATCACCAACATCAGCATCAGCATCAGCACCGCTATCATCATCATGGCCATCATGATCTGTATTGTCGTCATCCTCATCCTCATCACCATCGTCGTCATCATAAACCATCCTCATCATCATCAGCATCATCGTCATAACTACGTAGCATCATCGTCATCGCCATCGTCACCATCATCATCATGCTCACCATGATCACCATGGCCATCGTCGTCGTCCTGCTCATTCTGAGCATCACCAACACCACTCTCATCATGACCATCATCATCACCATCACCACCAGCATCACAATCACCAAGATCATCTTCAGCATCAGAATCATCAGCAGTATCATTATCATCGTCATCAGCATCGACATCATCATCACCATGATCATCATCATCATCATCATCATCATCATCATCATCATCATCATCACCATGATCATCATCACCATCATCATCATCATCATCATCATCCTCATCATCAGCATCATCATCATCATCATCTTGTCCTCCTCCTCCTCTGCGCGGCGGGGAGTTATCCATATCCACCGCCTGGGAACCGACGTCCTGGTGCCCCAGCGGGCAGTGGATGTGGACATGTCTCGGCCCCCCAGGGGCCGAACATGTCCATACCCACCGCCTGCCGAGGTTCCGAGAACCGACCCTCCAGGCAGTGGATGTGCATAAGCTCCCGCCTCGGGTCCTCCTTCTCCAGACCGACAGGCCCACTCCTTCTCCTCCTTCCCTCGTCCACCGACCCATCCTTCCCTCGAAGTCCGCGGGCTCTCGCACTTGGCGCTGGGCACGCCCGTCCTGCCCCTGCCCTCCCCGCAGCTACGCGAGCGGAGGCCGGCTCCTCCCCGGAGAGGGGGCCCTCGCCCGAGACCTCCTCGGCAGCACCGCCACGTCCACGACACCGCGAAACTGCTGCAGTCGGCCTCGATTGGACAGGACAGGCGAGAGGACACGTGGCCCTTCCGAGGGCCTCATCGCCACTGAGGTGTAAGAAGGCACGCGTCGCGAGGCACAGGACATAGAGGGTACCCTTGAGCCGGCAGGGTCGACCTACTAATCCGGGCCGCCTGTACACCACCCCAAAGAAATGGCATCTCAACATGAGGCGATCGCATACGATTCCGGGGGAGGTTTGACCAGAAGTCTGACGTTGCGCAACGGCTACACAAAGGGAGGAGGAGTACTGTTCAAAGCAGGAGGACTGTCGCTGGCGAATTCTAGACGCTTCGCGTAACCCCACCAGCCCATCCAGAAACGATGCCCAGAGGAATTGCCTCGATCAGGGAAAGAGGCAGCACACAGAGGAAGGGTCGCCCAGTGGAGGCCTCTTGGAGCGTCTTGGGGGCCTCCTGACGGTCCCGGACGCCTCTTAAAGCGTCTTGGGTGCCTCGGAGAGCTTCTTGTGGCCTCCTGGGGGTCTCTCGGGAGCCTCTTGGAGGCCTCTAGGGCGACTGTTGGGGCCTCCTGGGGCCTCCTGGGCGACTCTTGGGGCCTTCTTGAAGCGCTCTTGGGAGCCTTGGGAGCGCTCTTGGGGCCATCTTGGAGGACATCGATCAAACAAGAAGGGGAGCATTGTTGCCCCTCGGGATCTCAAAAAGTCGCCTCTCGGGGCGCTCTTGGAGCGCTCTTGGGCGCTCTTGGGGCCGTCTTGGAGCTTTATTGAGCCTCTCGTGGGGCCCTCTTGGGCCATCTTGGAGCCATCTTGAGGCCTCGGATGGCCATCGGAAGCGACAAGGCGAGAAAAACAGAAGCATTGATTTTCCTAAGGTTCTGGAAGGACTTGGCCTCTTCGGGGCCTCCTGGGGGAGCTCTTTGGCCACTTGGAGCCGTCTAGGGACGGTCTTTGGGTCTCTTTTTACGATTTTGTTTGTCTTTCCGACGACTCTGACTCACTACCGTGACAGGCCTACACGCAGACGTGAAACATGCGCTGTGCCTTGCCATACTTGGCTGTGAGACTCTTATACTTAGCTGCAAACCCAATAGCATCCTCTATGGCCATGGCTCTGGCTGTGGATGAAAACGCAGGTGGAAGAATGTATGTGCCGCCCATGTATATATACACCGATATCCGCCGGCCCCCTTGTGGGGCCACCAGGCTGTAGGCGCGGGTTCGCAGTTTCCTGTACCAGTTGTAGCTTGTAGTTTCCAGTGTTACAGTTCTGCTTCTTGCTGGTTACTGTAACTAGTTGACTTCTTGCTGGTTACTGTAACTAGTTGATTGACCGCGCGAGGGGGGGGGAGGCCCAAACAAGACTTTTAGCGTCCCCTGGGCGCGTTGTCTGAATTGCTGGGGGGGCTCGAAATCGACACCCCTCACGCAGATCCGCGGGGTCAGGGTCCAAAAACACAGGGGATTTGCCACATTTCTGAAAGTCGGTGCCACCCCTCACGCAGATCCGCGGGGTCAGGGTCCAAAAACACAGGGATTTGACATTTCTGAAATTCGGTGCCACCCCTCACGCAGATCCGCGGGGTCAGGGTCCAAAAACACAAGGGATTTGCCACATTTCTGAAATTCGGTGCCACCCCTCACGCAGATCCGCGGGGTCAGGGTCCAAAAACACATGGGATTTGCCACATTTCTCAAAATTCGGTGCCACCCCTCACGCAGATCCGCGGGGTCAGGGTCCAAAAACACATGGGATTTGCCACATTTCTGAAATTCGGTGCCACCCCTCACGCAGATCCGCGGGGTCAGGGTCCAAAAACACATGGGATTTGCCACCACCCCTCACGCAGATCCGCGGGGTCAGGGTCCAAAAACACATGGGATTTGCCACATGTCTGAAATTCGGTGCCACCCCTCACGCACATCCATCGCAAGGCGTGGTAACCCAAACTGCGAGTACTCCCTCGGCCCTTTAATCCCAAGGTGTGGTAACCAAGCTCGTAAACCATACACGTCTTACCAATCGCCCTGTGTGGTAACCCCTCTTGTGATCAGTTGGTTTTGCCGATTGCGAATCGGCCTCGCATGAAGTTCCGATACTGCTGCACGACAGCGCCAAAGCCTCATGACTTAGCTCTTCCATGGCCCATTCTCCGAGAAAGGGGGCCGGCGGCAGGGGGCGAAACCCTTACGGATATGTGCATATATATATATACATACGATGAAATTCCCAGCGCTGCGGGCGCGACATACCGTGTGCATATCTATATATATATATATGTATATGCATATATGTGGAGACATCGCGAAACAATAACGCCAATACAACATGTACAACATATAAACTTGCTGTCCCTTCCGGTGACAATCGGAACTCCAGTTCACGGGTCTATCACTTTAAACTCTTATTGGCAACGGGCCGACGGCAAGGGAATCCCAAACACAAGTCTATGCTCTCGTGTACGGTCGAATCGCCAAAGAAGCATCAACAAAACATTGTATCACAACCCAGCTATGACTGGCAGAGCCAAAGCATTTCGTATTCGGAAGTTCGGTAAGTAATGCCAAATGCGAAATCATATCAGCAGAAGTCGCATGAGCTGCATTGAAGAAGTGCTCCGAAGTGTGCAGCTCCGTATGAGGCGTGGCTATCCTGAAGCATCCTGTAGATTGACAACCAAGCAGCCAGCAGGCTCCTGCATGCCTAGGGAACTGCAAGTCCAATTTTTTTCGAAGGGTAAATCCGACGTCATCGTCGGAAATCAAACGAGGATACTGCAAGCGACTATCCAAGAAGAACCCTCCTCGTACACATTCGCAGGACATTTGCAGCAGAGAGGATGCTCGCTGCAGGACCCAACCCCCCATCGAATGGCCAATCAAACATGTGTCAGAAATTAGTCCTGAATCCAACACGCAAGTTGCCAGCGCGTGCAAGCCGACCTGATCAACTGTGAGGAGGGCGGTCCTGTCCATCAATGCACAGCTCGATGTGCACGTTTGGTTCTCTCGGAGGCGCAAATGAGCAACTTTGTCATACGCAGCGCCCTCAAAAAAATGCGTGTGGGGAGTTGAAGATTGTGGACGGCGGTGACGCAAAAATTGACTGACGCTGCTAGCACGCGCGGTTGCGCCATGAACGATGGCAAACGGCTTGGAGACCTCTACCAGATCATTGCGCTGCCGTGGTGCAAGGCTGCGTAGATCACGTGTTCGAAGGGCCTTCTTGATAGAACAGGCGCGTTCGACCGCTGGTTCTTTGGCTGGAAAACTGCCTGACCGTGCGTTTCCGATACGCATATGCAAGAACAAATGACTGCACTGACTGCGGGTCATGCTCCTCTTGCCCGACAAAGAATTCAACGTATCCAACAAAGTGCAAGCCATGAGCGGGTGATCACAATCTGCAAGGCGGGTCGCATGAGGGGCAGAATACTTGTCAAACTTGATCGGCGATATTCTCACATTCGTTGCAGGAGTAAAAACAACGTGACGAGGCCGTGCAGCTCGGTAGCCTTGCTGACCCTTGGCAACCACGAACGCACCAGGACTACTAGTGTTTTTGACCAGATCACGATGCGAGCGAAGTCTGGGATCTGTTAGTGCATCAGAACCAACGCGGTTCAGCGATAGCGACTGCAAACTGCCCAGAAGCTCTGCAGGCGTCAGGTGCGCACCTACTGAATTGATTGAACAAGTAGGACTGCCCAACTGGCCGATAGGAAACGCGCTCGCGCAATCCATCCCGAATTCACTCCAATTCGATGCAGTCTGCCGGAACTTTCTGTAGAATAACTGGGCGTCCGCCGCCTCTTTGCTAGACCCCCGCTGGCCCGACAAAGAGTGGGCGCAACTTGCGATTGCGTGCCGTTCCAACGACAACGTCGCAATCGCCTGTGCTTCTGCTTCTGCCGCGGGGACCACGCAGACGTCGGACAACACGCGGGCGATCACATTGAAGAGAAATCCTTGCTCAAGCATGCTGCGCACGGCGATGCCGTCATTCGGACAACATGTCGGAGGGCTCCTTGTTGGGAAGAATTTGGTTCGCGACGCCAAGCATGCCAGCGCCTTCTTGATTAAATTGTGCGCTCCATCAACCATGGGGACATCCAAAATGACGTCTTCGAATCCTGTAGCGATGGTCCACCTGGCATGATGAGCGTGCATCTATCGTACCTCACCCCTTAGCAGACGTTTCTATACCAAACACGTGTTTTGTTTGGGCCTGGCATGTGCGACCGCGTTCTGCTGACCCGTCGACTTGAACCAAAATGGTTACGGAGGCGGTCTTGTGGTCTCTTGGAGCATCGTGGGAGCCATCTTGAGGCATCCTGGGATACCTTGAGCCATCTTGGAGGTCATCTTGAGCTCTCCCAGGCGCTCTTAGAGTCATCTTAATCAGTGCCACCCCCTCAGGAGGCAAAAATGTCGCCAAAACCTTCGTTAAAGGCATTCTCGCCGAGGCCTCTTGGAGCGTCTTGGGTGCCTCTGGGGGGCCGTCCTCATCCACATCAGTATCGTCACTGTCACTGTCAACGACATCAGCATCAGCATCATCATTATCACCAGCATCAGCATCAGCATCAGCACGGCCATCATCAGCATCAGAAGCAGCCGCATCACCAACATCATCACCAACAGTATCGTCATCAGCATCGCCACCGTCACGCGTCATCATCGGCATCAGCATCATCATCATCATCATGACCAGCATCATGATCATCATCATCATCGTCATTAGCATTATCATCATCAGCAGCATCATCATCATCAGTATCGCCATCAACATCAGCATCAACAGCAACATCGCCATCATCACCATCACCAACAACATCACCGTCATTATCAGCATTACCATCATCATTAACATCACCACCATCATCATCATCATCAGCAGCAGCATCATCATCATCAGTATCATCATCGTCCGCAACAGCATCCTCACCATCCCCAGTAACATGACCATCACCATCACCATCACAAGCGCTGTCACCATCATCACCATCAACACTACCACCACCATCAACATCGTCCTCATGCCCATCATTATCGTCACTGCCACTGTCAACGGCATCAGCATCTTCATCAGCATCAGCATCAGCGTCAGCGTCATCATCATGATCACCAGCATCAGCATCAGCATCAGCACCGCTATCATCATCATGGCCATCATGATCTGTATTGTCGTCATCCTCATCCTCATCACCATCGTCGTCATCATAAACCATCCTCATCATCATCATCAGCATCATCGTCATAACTACGTAGCATCATCGTCATCGCCATCGTCACCATCATCATCATCATGCTCACCATGATCACCATGGCCACCGTCGTCGTCCTGCTCATTCTGAGCATCACCAACACCACTATCATCATGACCATCATCATCACCATCACCACCAGCATCACAATCACCAAGATCATCTTCAGCATCAGAATCATCAGCAGTATCAGTATCATCGTCATCAGCATCGACATCATCATCACCATGATCATCATCATCATCATCATCATCATCATCATCATCATCATCATCACCATGATCATCATCACCATCATCATCATTATCATCCTCATCATCATCATCATCATCATCATCATCTTGTCCTCCTCCTCCTCTGCGCGGCGGGGAGTTATCCATATCCACCGCCTGGGAACCGACGTCCTGGTGCCCCAGCGGGCAGTGGATGTGGACATGTCTCGGCCCCCGGGGGGCCGAACATGTCCATACCCACCGCCTGCCGAGGTTCCGAGAACCGACCCTCCAGGCAGTGGATGTGCATAAGCTCCCGCCTCGGGTCCTCCTTCTCCAGACCGACAGGCCCACTCCTTCTCCTCCTTCCCTCGTCCACCGACCCATCCTTCCCTCGAAGTCCGCGGGCTCTCGCACTTGGCGCTGGGCACGCCCGTCCTGCCCCTGCCCTCCCCGCAGCTACGCGAGCGGAGGCCGGCTCCTCCCCGGAGAGGGGGCCCTCGCCCGAGACCTCCTCGGCAGCACCGCCACGTCCACGACACCGCGAAACTGCTGCAGTCGGCCTTGATTGGACAGGACAGGCGAGAGGACACGTGGCCCTTCCGAGGGCCACGTCGCCACTGAGGTGTAAGAAGGCACGCGTCGCGAAGCACAGGACACAAAGGGTACCCTTGAGCCGGCAGGGTCGACCTACTAATCCGGGCCGCCTGTACACCACCCCAAAGAGATGTCATCTCAACATGAGGCGATCGCATACGATTCCGGGGGAGGTTTGACCAGAAGTCTGACGTTGCGCAACGGCTACACAAAGGGAGGAGGAGTACTGTTCAAACCAGGAGGACTGTCGCTGGCGAATTCTAGACGCTTCGCGTAACCCCACCAGCCCATCCAGAAACGATGCCCAGAGGAATTGCCTCGATCAGGGAAAGAGGCAGCACACAGAGGAAGGGTCGCCCAGTGGAGGCCTCTTGGAGCGTCTTGGGGGCCTCCTGACGGTCCCGGACGCCTCTTAAAGCGTCTTGGGTGCCTCGGAGAGCTTCTTGTGGCCTCCTGGGGGTCTCTCGGGAGCCTCTTGGAGGCCTCTTGGGCGACTGTTGGGGCCTCCTGGGGCCTCCTGGGCGACTCTTGGGGCCTTCTTGAAGCGCTCTTGGGAGCCTTGGGAGCGCTCTTGGGGCCATCTTGGAGGACATCGATCAAACAAGAAGGGGAGCATTGTTGCCCCTCGGGAGCTCAAAAAGTCGCCTCTCGGGGCGCTCTTGGAGCGCTCTTGGGCGCTCTTGGGGCCGTCTTGGAGCTTTCTTGAGCCTCTCGTGGGGCCCTCTTGGGCCATCTTGGAGCCGTCTTGAGGCCTCGGATGGCCATCGGAAGCGACATGGCGAGAAAAACAGAAGCATTGATTTTCCTAAGGTTCTGGAAGGACTTGGCCTCTTCGGGGCCTCCTGGGGGAGCTCTTTGGCCACTTGGAGCCGTCTAGGGACGGTCTTTGGGTCTCTTTTTACGATTTTCTGTGTCTTTCCGACGACTCTGACTCACTACCGTGACAGGCCTACACGCAGACGTGAAACATGCGCTGTGCCTTGCCATACTTGGCTGTGAGACTCTTATACTTAGCTGCAAACCCAATAGCATCCTCTATGGCCATGGCTCTGGCTGTGGATGAAAACGCAGGTGGAAGAATGTATGTGCCGCCCATGTATATATATATACACCGATATCCGCCGGCCCCCTTGTGGGGCCACCAGGCTGTAGGCGCGGGTTCGCAGTTTCCTGTACCAGTTGTAGCTTGTAGTTTCCAGTGTTACAGTTCTGCTTCTTGCTGGTTACTGTAACTAGTTGACTTCTTGCTGGTTACTGTAACTAGTTGATTGACCGCGCGAGGGGGGGGAGGCCCAAACAAGACTTTTAGCGTCCCCTGGGCGCGTTGTCTGAATTGCTGGGGGGGGCTCGAAATCGACACCCCTCACGCAGATCCGCGGGTTCAGGGCCCAAAAACACAGGGGATTTGCCACATTTCTGAAAGTCGGTGCCACCCCTCACGCAGATCCGCGGGGTCAGGGTCCAAAAACAAAAGGGATTTGCTACATTTCTGAAATGCGGTGCCACCCCTCACGCAGATCCGCGGGGTCAGGGTCCAAAAACAAAACGGATTTGCCACATTTCTGAAATTCGGTGCCACCCCTCACAGAGATCCGCGGGGTCAGGGTCCACAAACACAAGGGATTTGCCACATTTCTGAAATTCGGTGCCACCCCTCACGCAGATCTGCGGGGTCAGGGTCCAAAAACCCATGGGATTTGCCACATTTCTCAAAATCCGGTGCCACCCCTCACGCAGATCCGCGGGGTCAGGGTCCAAAAACACATGGGATTTGCCACATTTCTGAAATTCGGTACCACCCCTCACGCAGATCCGCGGGGTCAGGGTCCAAAACACACAGGGGATTTGCCACATTTCTGAAATTCGGTGCCACCCCTCACGCAGATCCGCGGGGTCAGGGTCCAAAAACACATGGGATTTGCCACATTTCTGAAATTCGGTGCCACCCCTCACGCACATCCATCGCAAGGCGTGGTAACCCAAACTGCGAGTACTCCCTCGGCCCTTTAATCCCAAGGTGTGGTAACCAAGCTCGTAAACCATACACGTCTTACCAATCGCCCTGTGTGGTAACCCCTCTTGTGATCAGTTGGTTTTGCCGATTGCGAATCGGCCTCGCATGAAGTTCCGATACTGCTGCACGACAGCGCCAAAGCCTCATGACTTAGCTCTTCCATGGCCCATTCTCCGAGAGAGGGGGCCGGCGGCAGGGGGCGAAGCCCTTACGGATATGTGCATATTTATATATATATATATATACATACGATGACATTCCCGGCGCTGCGGGCGCGACATACCGTGTGCATATCTATATATATATATATGTATATATGCAGATATGTGGAGGCATCGCGAAACAATAACGCCAATACAACATGTACAACATATAAACTTGCTGTCCCTTCCGGTGACAATCGGAACTCCATTTCACGGGTCTATCACTTTAAACTCTTATTGGCAACGGGCCGACGGCAAGGGAATCCCAAACACAAGTCTATGCTCTCGTGTACGGTCGAATCGCCAAAGAAGCATCAACAAAACATTGTATCACAACCCAGCTATGACTGGCAGAGCCAAAGCATTTCGTATTCGGAAGTTCGGTAAGTAATGCCAAATGCGAAATCATGTCAGCAGAAGTCGCATGAGCTGCATTGAAGAAGTGCTCCGAAGTGTGCAGCTCCGTATGAGGCGTGGCTATCCTGAAGCATCCTGTAGATTGACAACCAAGCAGCCAGCAGGCTCCTGCATGCCTAGGGAACTGCAAGTCCAATTTTTTTCGAAGGGTAAATCCGACGTCATCGTCGGAAATCAAACGAGGATACTGCAAGCGACTATCCAAGAAGAACCCTCCTCGTACACATTCGCAGGACATTTGCAGCAGAGAGGATGCTCGCTGCAGGACCCAACCCCCCATCGAATGGCCAATCAAACATGTGTCAGAAATTAGCCCTGAATCCAACACGCAAGTTGCCAGCGCGTGCAAGCCGACCTGATCAACTGTGAGGAGGGCGGTCCTGTCCATCAATGCACAGCTCGATGTGCACGTTTGGTTCTCTCGGAGGCGCAAATGAGCAACTTTGTCATACGCAGCGCC